CCTCACCATGAGACTGGATGAGTTTACTCCACAGTTGCGTGACGTAAGCTAGGAGGTCCCCTGTGGATCGTTGGTGCCGGAAACCGTACTGCCTGTCGCTAATCAAGCTGTGACGTTCGAGGTAGTACAGAAGTTCGCGATTTATGCACCTCTCCATCACTTTACTTATAACAGAAAGCAGAGCTATAGGCCTGTAGTTGTAAGGGTCGGTTTTAGATCCTTTTTTTGGGATGGGCTGTACATGAGCAAATTTCCAGTTTTCTGGGAAGGTGCCGGATTCATAAGATATCTGGAAGAGACGCGAAAGGACTGGAGCAAACTCAGCTGCACATCTCTTCAGTACAATGGCAGGAATCAAGTCCGGACCAGAAGCCTTGTTGGTGTCGAGCGACAAGAGCACTCGTCTTACGGTCTTATGCCTGAATGTTACCTCCCGCATAGTGTGGGGAACCCTTTGAATTGACGGCACTTGGGCGTTGGTGGGGACGTCCATGGTGGAGTTGGCAGCAAAGATCTTGGCTAGCACTTCCGCCTTGGCCTTTGAGTCGAATACAATAGTTCCATCCTGACACGTAAGTGGTGGAAGGCTACTGTGTGAGAAGTTCTTTTCAATCTGCTTGGCCAGCGTCCAGAAAGACCGACTGCCATTGCGCTGCGACATTACCCTGTGCCTAACTTTTATATCATGCTGGGTTTTGGCATTGCGAACCGCTTCGTTATATTTGTTTCTGGACTCGACGTCGGCTTGTCTGTTCTCTACAGTGGGGTTTTGTAAGTAGGTTCTGTGGGCCTTGATCTTCTGCTGGCGAGCAGTGTCACACGATTTGTTGAACCAGCCGTTGGACCCTGGTTTAGGAGCTTTCACTGTGTGAGGGATGTATTCCTCCATTCCGACGTGGATAATTTCGGTTATTGAAGAACAGACAGTCGACGCATCCGCGTCGGTGAAACAGACATCTCTCCAAGGAAAGCTAGAGAAGAAGTCTCTGAGCCCCTCCCAGTCGGCATGTCCGTAATGCCAAGTTTTGCGGCCTGTGCGAGTTTCTGCTGCCACAGCGGCTTCTGACCGAAACCTAACCTCCACAACACCGTGATCTGAGTTACCCAGGGGGGACAGGATAGCAGTGCTGTAAGGGGCAGGATGCGTGGTCAGAAAGAGATCCAGCAGGCTACTGGAGTGTGACGAGACCCGGGGGAAAAAAGTAGGGCTCGTCACCAGCTGGGTCAGCCCTTGAGTAAGAGCGAACGCTTCGACTGCACGACCTGCTGCATCGGTCTTATTTGAGCCCAACCAAAGCTCATTATGGGCATTGAAATCACCGAGAAGAACTACCTCTGAAGCGGGGTGATTGATGTTCAGGAAGTCGATCTGGACGGCGAGGTATTCGAATAGGTCATCCCAGTTATGGTTCGAGGGAGAGCGATAAAGGCAGCAAATAAATTTGGGTGATGTTTTGGAGTTGAGGCGAAGCCACAGAATGTCCTTTCGGTCTGATTCCAAAGAAAGATCCCTGGAGCAGGAAAGACTGCTGCGGACAAAAGCCACAACTCCCCCGTTCTTTCTCAGATTGGAGTGCACCTCGTAGTTTGGGAAGTTGAGATGGTTAATCGGTGCAGTCTCTGAGATTTTTGTCTCCGCCAAGAAAAGCACGGCGGGACGATTGGATTGCAGGTAGTGATGAACAGCATCAATGTTGCTGTTGATCCCGCAGATGTTCGAAAAACAAATTTTATCTTCGATGTTGTTCCCTCGAGCCCACCCTCCACCCGGACATTCCGAGAGTGGAGTGAGTTTACGTCCGGAGTTTTTAGTGCTCGAGGGATCCATCATCATTAGTTTCTTTGTTTTGGTAGATAACCGACTGCATAGCTTAGGTGTGGAAACATGCGGACATTTATAAGACACCCTGGGAAAAGCTAGCGGGTGGTACTGCCTCGGTCGACTGGTCCTTGTCTACCACCTTCTTTTTACGTGTTAGTGATGTTGAATAGACCTAAAGTGGCCCGTTGGCGGACTTGTACCGCCACCCGGCAATCGGTACTGAGGTATTCCTTAACGCGTGCACAATCACTTGGACGGGAAGAAGTTGTATACTTTATACAACAACTTCCGGAACAAGCATTTGCCACGGCCCTCGCTCAGTAGGGCGGTGAAATATCAAATTCCCTGTAAAAAATCCCAAACACAGGACCATACGAGTAGAGGCCTATGAATTTTGCCCTTGTCGAACGATTGGTAACTTATCTTGACTCGAAGAATCGGAGTAGAATTCAAAGAATGCAAAACAACTGCCATAGGTGCTGTATGATCTTCTCCAGGAGTTGTAGTGTAATTTTAAGGTATTTGTGCATAAGATATGTATGAAAAAACCTATTTATCTCCACAGTAAATTGATAACTAGAGGAATCATTAATCTTAGAGGTCTGAGGCATAATAATAACCTTGCAATGCCTTTGCAGTACGCCGCATAGTTTCAAAAATGCTTTACCTTCAATGCAGTGAGGTTGTACATCTCAAAGTGTTGTAACATCCAGGAATCTCGTTAAACATCAGCTGTCAGACCTGTTGTGATTATCTGATATGATCTTTCCTTTTTGTTTTTCTTGTATTTTCATCCAATCATTATTAGTTCTCATCTGGTTCCTTTTTGGTGAACCAACATAGCGTGAATTTGTCAATTGAATATGTTTTTTTTCTTTTTCATTAGTTCCCTCAATTGAACAGGAAATCGATTTATCTTAAGGTTGGTATGTATTTGATTTTGTATTATATGTACATAACAGGGTTGAGTGTAAGAGTATCCAACTGGCTAAACTTCGCTTTATTCTAATATATACATTTTATTATTATTATAAAGGGTGGGCCATCCGTTGGTTTCTCTTTTAAATTGGTATTAAAACTACACCCTTCAATAATATGTAACACTCGATACTTTATTCAAAAGAATACACCTTCCGATTATTTATGCATGAAAAACAATTTCAGTTAAATGGCTGCCGCGGCTGGCCTGGCAGTAGTCCATCCTCCTAACCCAATTTTGCAGCACATTTTCGATAGTTTGTGGGTCTATTTCATCAATAGCTCGACGGATATTTTCCTTAAGAACATCAATTGTTTGAGGATCGTTAGTGTAACAGCGGTCCTTAACAGTACCCCATAGGAAGTAACCCATGGGCGTCAAATCACAGCTGCTGGCTGGCCAATGAACGTCTCCAAAACAACTGATAACGCGATGGCCGAACTTGATGTGTAAAAGATCGATTGTTTCACGGCTGGTGTGGCATGTTGCGCCATCGTGCTGGAACCAGAGGTTGTGCAAGTGCATGACGTCTAATAGTGGCCACAAAAAAACTCCTCAACATGTCTCTATAGCGTTCCCAGTTTACCGTCACGCTGTTACCATCTTTATCTTGAAAAAAGTAGAGACCAATAATCCCACCACTCCAAAAGCCACATCAAACAGTTTTTGGATGCATTGGTTTTTCTACGACGTCATATGGATTTTCAGAACACCCAATTCCTACAGTTCTGCTTGTTAACGTAACCTCCCAGATGGAAATAGGCTTCGTCCGAAAAGATTATTTGGCGACCAAAATTGACGTCCGTTTCCAATTAATTTAGAGCCTACACAGAGAAACGATGTCGAAGCGGATGGTCATTTTGTTTCAACTCATGCACAATTAGCGCCTTGTAAGGAAATAATCCCAGGACGTTATGCAATATTCTCCGCACAGAGGTGCGACTGATGTCCACTTGTTGTGCTCGGTGACGAGTTGACATTATTGCGTTTTCACGCACACTCTGGGCAACAGCAGCAATGTTTTCGGCTGTACGTACGGGTCGAACACGCTTATACTCGTACCTTCTGTTATCCACAAGCAGGCCACCTTCTTCACGAATTTTCGTATACCAGTCGCAGACGGAGCTTCATTCTGACCAAATAGTCTTCTCAATTTTCGCAAAGTTTGTGCAACACAGCACTCACTTTGAAAATAGTTTTTCAATATTTCCCACCTTTAATCATGACTGAAACGATCCATTGCTCACAGCGGAAGTTTGACACAATATATCTGTCAATACGTTGAGCATGGAAGTGTTACCATCTGTCAAAATAATACCAATTTAAGAAAACAACTGATGGCCCACCCTTTATATGAGTCATACATAATGGCTCAATTTTAATAATTCAGAGCGCCATGCTGAACTAATAAAAAAATATTGCCTAAACTAATACTTGCAAACTAGCTAACCACATACAAAACCATTCTTATTTTTATTGCTTGAGATGATGAGCTTATGAAAACAGGTAATTTCCACCTGAAAATTTGACTTATGGCTCTTTCTACAATTTAATTTTCATCCTATTTTTGACCACCCTGTGTTATTGATTATCAAAATGTCGGATGAAATCAAATAAACAAGACCCCTTCCTAGAACAAATCAGTTACAAAGCCGTCGACAAAGACAAAAATATACGAAAAATTCATTTGCATTTGTGATTTTTTACACAAAATTTGATATTTCTCAAAAATGGCTAGAGCTAGGTAAAAGATGTTATGCATGAACTGTGTTCAGAATTCTACGTTTTTTTTTCAAATATTGAGTAGTATGCAGTGCGTTCCATACGCTAGTTGGTATCTACTTCTGGTACAACTGGAAGTGCACCATTTTCACAATATTTTAGCTAAATTGCCCACATCAGTTACACTATAATCCCAAGTTATCATAATTATCTAACGTCAACATTTCGAGTAACCGATCGCTGTAGTTCTAATTGGAACTCCCTGTATAGTATGTTATTCAATATTTATGTTTTGCATATATTGCTAAACTTCATCCAAATAAATATGCCTAAGTATTATTATATTCGACCTCCTTTATAGCTCTGTCGGTATATCAACATTTGAACTGTGTTTTTGAATCTGTTTCAGTTTTAAAAAGAATCCCTCCCATCGACACGTCCCTGATCAAGCCAGTTAGCAGCTCCGGGATCGGGACCATGATTCCGACTAGTGTGCGGGAAACGCGGGACGATGCAACGAACGGGGAGGCAGGAAGAGAAAAGAGGGAGGAGAATCCGGTGGTAGCGCGGCCGATCCCCCGACAGATCGATCTAGCACAATGGGTTAATTCTTCCCACGTGCGATGCACGGCATTAATCAACCTCCCAGTCGCAAAGCAGCGACAACGCGCACTCCAAGATGGATCGAGCTCCCTGGAGGTGATGGATGGAATCATCTTACCACGGAAGAGATAAAAGGACCATTACCAGTCTCAACATTCTCTGGGGCATTAGTAGTGGTGAAAAAATATATCTATCAATTTTGTGTATACAGGGTGTTCCTTAATGATATGCGAATATTTTAGGGTGTGAGTCTAGATAAAAAATTAATGTTAGTTTGCTGTATAAACTATGGTCCAAAAATGTTTCCTTACAAAAACTCGGGGTGTTGACGTTTTAGTAAAAAAATGGAAATTAATTGTTTTCAGAACCGCTTCAGATATTTCACTGATATTTAGTACGTAGTGAAAGTTAATAAAGTTGGATATATTTCAATGCAAAAATAATTTTTAGCTTTAACAGCGGCGTGAGTACGGGTATTGACTACGATATTTTTCAAGAAAAAAATGGTACGTCAACGGTTTTTGGCCAAATAAAAATTATTCTTGAATTCCCCGTTCAATTTAAAACAAATGATCTCTATTGAATTGTTTTCCTTCGATGCGCTATTTTTGGGTAAGAAAATAAAAACCGTTCTATTGTCTAACTTGCAAAATTATTATTAATCTAATTGGAAAAATTAAACACATTACGGATAATGAACAACATCAACTGACAACATAGACACAACATTAAAACCAACGAAATGATTACAAAAATTGTTGAAAATGACCCCCTTCACTTAGTATGCATGCTTCCGCCCTCCTTCTCATGGAATTGCGCACTCGTTGAAATATCCCTGGAGTGTTTTTTATTCTATCACAAGCTGCAACTATTCTTTCTCTTAATTCCTCTACAGTGTTAATGGGACTTGTGTACACTAGTGTCTTAAGATAGCCCCACAAAAAGAAATCTAAACTGTTGAGGCCTGGGGATGTTGGTGGCCATTCTTGGGGCCCACCGCTGCCAATCCAACGATTTGGATAAACAATGTGTAAATAATTAAGAACCGCTACACTGAAATGCGCTGGTGCACCATCATGCATGTACCACATATTGTTTCTTATTACTAACGGAACATCATCAAGCAGCAAAGGCAACTGTTGCTGAAGAAAATTGAGGTAAGTCTGTCCGTCAAGTCGTCCTGGCAAGAAGACCAACTAGATATTTATTGCTAAGTTGCATTCTTCAATTATTATTACATTAATTTTCTCAGACAAATTTTTACTCAAAAATGGCGCATCGAAGGAAAACAATTCAAGAGAGATCATTTGTTTTAAATTGAACGGGAAATGCAAAACTAATTTTTATTTGGCAAAAAACCATTGGCGTACCATTTTTTTCTTAAAAAATATCGAAGTCAGTACCCGTACGCACGCCACTGTTAAAGCTAAAAATTATTTTTGGATTGAAAAATATGCAACTTTATTAACTTTCACTACGTACTAAATATCAGTGAAATATCTGAAGCGGTTCTAAAAATATTAATTAATTTCCATTTTTTTCCTAAAACTTCAACACCCCGAGTTTTTGTAAGGAACCATTTTTGGACCATAATTTATAAAGCAAACTAACATTAATTTTTTATGTAAATTCACACCCTTAAATATTCGTATATCATTAAGGAACACCCTGTATAGAAACAGAGCTTTTATTTTTTGTACAACAATATAAACTACATTGTTATTTTGTACCGACGATTCTTGGCTAATTTTTTTACTCGTCACCCATTTTCCTAATTTTTCATACTCTCACCAAATCCCTACATTACATAATGCACACATAGTTACATGTTTCTAGATGTCTGACCTAATTTCAAGTTGGTTTAGAAGGACAAATTCATTGGATTTGTATATTAAACGCCGTTTCCCATTTAAGCAAAAGTCCGAAAACAGTAAATAGGGTGCATAATATTGATTTTGCCTTTCATCTATATCACTTATTGTTCTTTTCTTTGCGTAATAAACATAAATTTAGAGTTTAAGTTACAGCGCGTTACACCCGATTAAGGCAAAGAAATAAAAAACTGCATCCGGCCCTGGAATTTTCCAAAACACCATTAGTAAAATTCTGAGCATTTCCAAGCTGGCAACATTTGAGTTTCTTGAGTTTTTTGTCACATGTCAGTTGATACCTCGTGATCACGAGGTCTTCTGACCAAAGTTACAAATGTGCCTGCTGCCTCTTGTTGTATTTCCCTTTCCATGCTTGTTTTCCTTCAGGTTACACCCGTATCGAGAAGTCACAGGCATACGGTTTTGAAGCCAATCAGCAGAAATGTACATCGCTTGAGCTACCAATCCTTCTATTTCTGCTCCCGTTTCATTATTGTGGACATGCTTACGATTGTTCTTTGTTTTTCATATACCTGTAAGTTTTCGCAAGACTACTTGCATTTCTTCGTATTGTACAAAATTTCATCAAAATAAGATTAAAGATTTGGCGTGTTTAGATAAATCATCCTATATACAGGGTGTTTTAAATTCGACCTTCACTATTGGGTTCTCGAAAACTGTAAGAGATACGAAGTCGCTTAACTGGGGCAAAGTTGCGTATTTAGATAATCAACAATAACCGAATGTTCTCAAAATCGTTTTAATTTCTTCCTGACTAATTGTAGTGGGTTGTCAAAATAAATTGCACTTTAACATTGCCACCTTTTCTCCCCCTACAAGATGGCATAATTAGAATTTCAATATGACGTTTCGTCATTTGTCCTTTTTTCTTATAGACGTCAAACTGTATTTTTGCGCAGATAAGTAGTTTTTAATTCTGATTTCAAAAATATTTATATGTCGTACTCTGACATTGCCAATACCTTAGTTATTTCAGAAAAACAGAATTTCCTAGGTAGGCCTTGAAATTATATCAGGTTGTTATTTGTTTCGCATACCAGATTTATCCCAAAATCAGTTTTATTTTCTACTGACCTTATTTGAGAGACATTTTTGAAATGAGAATTGAAAACTCTATACTTTTGCGCAAAAATTAGAATATGGCGTCCATAAGAAAAAATTAAATTTATGCTGGAGGACAAGATACGAAACGTCATATTGAAATTCTAATTAGGCCATCTGGTAGAGGAGAAAAGGTGACACAGTTATTGTGCAAGTTATTTTCAAATCCCACTACAAATAGAGTCAGGAAAAATGATTTTGGCAAAATTCGGTTTTTTCCGTCTCTCTCCGGAAGTACTTTGAATTTCGAAACTTTCTAAGTAGCATTTTGTTGATTACCTAAATACGCAACTTTGCCATTGTTTAACCTTTGTATCTAGCACAGTTTCAGAGATCTCAATGGTGAGGGTCGAATTTGAAACATCTTGTCAATCAAATTTAGCTATTTTACTTTCCATTTCCTCATAAAGCACCCTGTATAGAAAGAAATGGAATCGAATTTTTGAGGCATGGTTCCCCCATTTGCAAACATTTTGAATCTGACATGCAAACGGAAATTTAGGCAGAAAACGGCTTTGTTTTAATCCCTGCTCCACTGGCAAGAAGGTATAGTAATAGCAAAAAAAATCGAAAATGATATATTATGGTTTTACTTCCCGCGCCTACTGGCCGAGAAAGAATTGTAATTGCGAAATTGATTTGAAATTGAGATATTACGTTTCCTGGATGTTATATGACATGTACATCTTGAAAAACCATGTCTCTCATTTCCGTCGGTCTGTCTGTCTGTCGGTCTGTCTGTAGGTCTGTCCGCTAATCTTATAACCTCCTATAATTTGGGAAGTACCATGCCAAGCACGCAAAAGGCTTGTAGTTTTTGAAAATCGGTGCAGTGGCGGCAGAGAAAGAGGTCTAAAACGGAAAAAGTGAAAATCGCCCAACCTCGTTTTTTGTTACGCTTCAGAGAATTCTGATCATTTTTGACAACAATTTCAGAGGTAAAAGAACTTGGGGATGGGGTTTGTAAGGGGGTGGGGAGGGTTTATCTCAATTTGTGATGCTAGTACATTTATACACTCCCAACATTGATAATTCTACGCACTTATTAGATATAATACACATCATTGATTTCTCTGAATGTTAGCCCTGAAAACTTATATAATATTTTCGAGAGACGGATCACGAAGAGAGTTCTGGTATATCACAAGTATTTCTGCCGCGCAACAGTATAGCGTTTCTATTCTCTGGCAGCACTACCAGGATACCACGTCTGCCCGAGTGAGATATCGGGGAGAGGCAACGTTTAAAGATGCACTACTGGCAGGGCAGGGAAAGAATGTCTACGGACTAATAATAATAAAAACGTTTATTGAGGAACAACTCAAAAAGAGAGGGTATTGTATAAATATTTTTCAATCCTTCCGTAAACATCAATATAAATTTTTTATATTTAGTCAGCTTATACAACAACGTACTGTATTGACATTCATCCTTTTAATAGTATTTCAGATAACCCAAATTATTGTATTGTAATCTGGTGATATATGTCCAAATCTGTTGATAGTATCGTAACTGTAATTAATTGCAAGGACCTGTTTGACTGACCTGTTTTCCAGAGGACCTGGTTTGTGCTGAACATCTTTCTTTATAAACAGATGATGGCGTTCCGTGGAAAGTGCAGAGTCAACCTACTTGACGCAATTTTTTGGATTTTATATGACATCATGCTAAAATTATTATCAGGCACCACTACCATATACTAATATAATTAAGAAATATAATAACAATATATTAAAAAAAACAGAAAGGATGGTTCAGGGGAATTCCATTATAACATATTAACATACACATATATATAGGTATATATATATATACGAGGGATGTCTTTTAAGTTTTGCATATAGAAACATAGTAGGCCGCGCGGATCGAACATCAGTACTGAATCTTAACCCCACTATTTAGTAAACTTAAATTCAAAGTTTCACAACAATACGTGCAGTGTTCTCACTACAGTGAATTGTTAAGTTTCATCAAGTCATTAGAAAAATGGAACTCAACCGAGAACATTTTCGCGCCATAATTTATTACAACTTTCAGAGACAATTATCGCAACAAGAACGCCTTGCTGAGTTACTGTCTGTGTTCGGCAACGAAGCTCCACATCAGTTGAAAATTTCCCGTTGGTATGCAAGCTCGCAC